CACTACGGAAAGTCCTATTGTTACCACTGAAACCACTGAGTCAACAGTTTCAACAACCGAAGTAATACCAACCAGTGTAACTACTGAAACAACGGAAACAACGTTCTCTGTTCTGATTGAAGTTACGAATATCACTACCGAAAGTCCTATTATTACCACTGAAACTACTGAATCCTCAGTTACAACAACCAAAGTAATACCAACCAGTGTAACCACTAAAGGAATGGAAACAACGTTCTCTATACTGGTTGAAGTTACTTCGCCAGAAGTTACAAATGTCACTACAGAAACCCTTCCTATCACTACTGAATTCCCGGAATCTACAACGGAATTTACAATTACAACAACAGAAACTTCACCCACCAACATATCCGTCGAAACTACTGAGTCTGCAACTTCCAAAACTGAAGTTATTTCCCCATTATTTACAACTGAAAGTACGTCAGTGGAAACTCCGTATATTACAACTGAACTCACAGCAGCAACAACTGAAGTCTGGAATACAACAATCGATATATTTTTAATCGATGTAACGATTTCAACTATAACTGCAGAATTCGAAGTGACTCATACCTTTCCACCATTTCCGCCTATGATTTTGACAAGAGTTCCAACCACTTTGGAAACCACAGTATTCAAAGTAACTACAACATCCATAAAACCGCCTACCGAATTCACCATAAAAACTGAAATGATCAGTGAGGTAGAGACTACTCCATTTTATGAAGAATACGAAGAAGTAATTACCACGGAACATTTAATATATTATGACTATGCAGAGGAGGAATCGACAACTATGGAAACTACCGAATCCATGTTTACCACTGTCACAACAGAATATGTTACTACTCCATTCCCTACTACTGCCACAATAACTGAATCACCTGCACTGCCTGAAACAACAGAAACAACAACAGCGATAGTTATTTGGGAAGTTAATATTACCACCCCTTATCCCGTGACTGAAGCTCCAAAGTCGACGACAGAATCTACAACTGAATCGACAACTGTAGCAACTACTGAATCAACTAAATCCACTACACCAACAATATCAACTGCATCGACTACGATCGAAAACGTTACTTCACCTATCGAAATTATTGAAGTCACCACAGTTTCTCCCACAGTTACTTCTATAGTTGCTCCTACAGTGACTACTATAGAAACTATTACCTCGACTAAGCGAATTACTACGACAATCAAAGAAGAAATTTATGAAACAATTACAATGCACGACTACGAATACGAAAAAGAGGAAGAAGAAGAAGAAGAAGGAGAAGGAGAAACACCTATCTGGTATGACTACACCGAAGAAAATATCACAACGTCAACAATCAAGACAACCACGAAAGAAGTTATTAGAATAGAAGTGACAATCTTCAAGGAAGATTTAACCATTACCACTCCATCTGTGACCATACCCAAAATTGAATCTACGACGTTAACTTCACCATACAAGAAAGAGAATGAAACAACTATAAAAACAACCTTGGAAACACCCTTGAAAGAAGAAACATCGACAGTCAGTACAACGAAGGAAATCACTAATTTCACTACGTTCACGTACACTCTACCCGCCACTCCTAAATTCACCACTGAGTACTTGCCTCTGGATTACTTCGAAAGAAACATAACGAGACCTAGAGAAATTACCACTAAAGTCACCTACTCACCCGAACTAACCACACTTAGCATAAAACCTACAACTGATAAAATACAGAAGGATATTCGTCACCGCGAGATGAAAGTGGAATTAGAGGAGAAGCTCGAGGAGCTGGATGTTGTCCAGGAAGAGATTCGCGAGAAGGCAAAGGAACTCGATATGGAAGAGAAGAAATGGCGGTACGAGAAAGGCAAACGAATACGCGAGATCCTAGATAAGCAAAAGAGGCAGAAAATTACCCCTGGAACCGCGACTCCAGCGAAAGATGAACACGTCACTGAGAAATCACCACTTCTTCGCGAAACCACACCTAGTGTCAAACCTGCGTATCTCATGACAGACGTCGATAGAACAAAGTCTATAAATACAGTGACTTCGATGATGGCAACGAAGGATCATCTTGAAAAGGAAGTCAGAAACCTAGAGAAAGAGTTCTCCGAGAAGGAGAAAAAGGTGCAGAAGGAAGAGAACGTGCTACTGGAAAGAGAGAAGAAGCTTCAGAAGGATAAGGAGGAATTCGAGAAGAAGATGAGCGAGATGGAAGAGAGATTGGCCAAGGGTGAAGAGATCACCTGGTCCACGGAACCGTACTTCGAAGAGTCGACTCACTCGACGCCATCTTTCTCGCAGCTACCACCCACGGAGAGAACAACCATAGACATTCGGGAAGTGACAATAGCTGAACCAAAGCATCAGACTAGTATAACGAAGATCACTCAGCCTCCTCACGATGAGATGAAGGAGCAAGAAGCAGAGGATAGAGGTACAACGAGGATCTGTTTGAACGTCTTGAAGGGCAAATCTCTTGGAAAGTACTCCAAGGGTATGATGACGGAAAGGGTTTGCTTGCCACTCGTTCCGGGCAAGAAGACCCTTAAAGAAAAGAAAACGAAGATTAGTAGCCTGCGTCTTCAAGATCACGAGTGGACAGAAGGCACCACCGTCACGAAACAGCCTGGAGAATCGCAGACAGAAGTGGAAGAGGAGAACGAGAGGAAGAGGTCGTTGTTCGAGTTGGATCGACTTAAACGAAATGTCGCTTGGGACAATGCTGTTTGTCGTGAATTTCGAAGCAACCAGCTGGCTGATGGGGATGAAATGACGAAGATGCAAATCGACGAGCCACTTTTCGAATATGCAAACTGTAGCTATTTCACCGAGAGACTCCTGATCACTGAAGCGACAAAGGCTAACGAAGAGGGCTATTGGAAAATGAGTAACAGGTACAACGTTCGATCCGTGTTGCAAATTGTCGAAGATAACGATGGAGAAATGGCGGAAAAAGATGGACAAAGTGTCGGGTGCTCCGATTACGAGGATCAAGTTCAAAGGTACCCGAGGCAAGACGAAAGTACTCTTCCGTGGACAGACTACGAAACCGAAGAGGCTGATGTAAAATCAGAAATTGAACCGGATGAAGATGTCGAGTCACAAGATGTCGTCGATGAAGTAAGCGAGGTGAGACCAGTTTCGGAAGAGAAAATGGATCATACTGAAGAGGATTCGGAGGCTGAGGTTGAAAACGACCAAACTGAGGAAAGAGAAAGTACATCTAGAGTCTACGAATACAGAGGGAAAGACGTTCAAGGTAAGATATTAATGCATTTGCTTCAAAATGGAAGCCACGTATTTTATGAGCTTCTTATTAAAACTCGTTAGAAATTGTGAAAGTACTGATTTTATAAAACTTTTTTTTATGGAATGCAATTAGCGTAAACTAGCTATAATAATTATGAAGGAAATAGGATATTTATTTGTCCACCTTATTTTATATTTGCACATTTTCTATATTCTAGAAGAGAACATTAAAATAAAAATAAATCCAAAACCAAAGAATAAATTCAATAACTTTTTATATATTTATCTATTTAATTTACAGAAAATCGGATTTTCTATATTTAGTATTTTTCAAAAATTGAAAATGTAGCCTTAAAAATATCCACGTTCAGGTATTTCAATTTTCGAGTCATATTTAATTCTCTGGAATATAGTAAAGCCATGCTACAATAAATTCAACATATTTCGTACATAATTACATCAAAAATCACATTTCCATGTGACTTCTAAAAAATTGTAATTGCCATCTTTTTTATTATAAATTTATTTCGAAGAAAGTTACCACGAATATCCTTAATATCGATACATTCGTATTCTGTTGATTATCGTTAATCGCTAGAAAATTACAAGACTGGAAAACCGAATGAATTTTCAGAAAGGAAGAAAAGCAGAGAGACACCTGGTTCAGAATGGCCGACCGAAGCTCTAACCGCTTATCACGTGGGTGGCACAAGAACATGGATGCTGGAGTATGCAGAACAGGAGGTTCCGGAGTCGGAGAATCCGGAAGAAGACAAGGAAGAATACAAAAGCGTCGGGAAGCGGCCATTCGAGGGGACGACTTGTTACAACGTTATTTTTAACGTCGAGGAAGACAGACTCGAAGTTCCTGAAAAAGAATATGAGGAATATGAGTCGTTCTTGAAAGAATACATTCCATAGCCAAACAACTATTCCAGACACGCGTGAACGCGACACGGAGAGCCCCATAAATTTCCCGGTAAAACGAAAAAAGAGACTTTATTTCCACAGGGAGAAGAGACAAGCAGTGGCCGTTTTCTTAATCACCCTGTTTCCGATGAAGCACGCACGATGCTTCAAGAGAAGCACCGAAACGAATAAAATAGCAGTAAAATGTAGCACGTAGTGTTAGAAAAGGTTGTACAGTTTGTACATATGTATATATACATATAAAAGGGTACATTAAATAAATTCGATTAGAAAATTCATTTTAAACCGGCAAGGCAGTTTAATCCGTGAATTAAACAGGCTGAAAGCGTTATCACAGCTGTCTAATCCGCTTGATTAATTCTTTCATGGTGACCGTGCTGACCGCAGCCTCTGTAACCGGAAGCACACAGTGGTCTCTAAATGCTGGCGTCGATAGCGGCGTTCATCTTGTACGAAAGTGTTTTATTTATAGTTAGTCGGTTTGTGTACCGTTATATCCGTCGATTACACGAACGAGCAAAGATTCCACGAAATAGTATTGCACGAGAGCGATACCGACGTAACTTACAATCATGTCTATCGAAGATGGCCATTAAATGACCGTTCGATAACGCGATGCTATGAACAGCTTCTTCAGTAGTTCTACTCGATTTCTAAACTTAATCATTCGTACGACAACTATGAATCATCACGTCTCAGCCGTGACGAGGGATTCGCTATCTATTCTATCACGTTGCGTGACACGCACATGAAACTCCTCATCCGCACGGTGAGCATATCAGCGCATATCCCCTGGATGTGGATTTCGATATCAGGAATCAAGACAATGGAGCGGATGTTGACGATAGCGGCACGCGAGACGACGCCAGTCTCGAAAAACTCAGGATCAGTCGTCGAAAAGCCGTTCACGATACTAGTTTCGTTCCTCCGCGCACGATCACCGCTACCTCAGACACGAACAGAAGAATCAGAAGGAAGTCTTCACGTGCAGCCCTAGTCGAATGGTCGTCCGAGTTGCCGAGGAACACTGATCCAAGCATCTCAGGGTTTCAACGGAACAGCAAGAGCTAGATTTCGTCTGTACGAGATGAAGGAACATCAGAATATGATCTCTGTGTACAGCCTTCTAGTCCTCGTACTGGTAAGTGGTTCGAAAAGGCTCTAAATAGGATTTAAAAATACATATGACATTTCGTGTACTCACAGTGACGATTTTATTTAAAATTTCTAATAGAATAATAATTTTTGCGATAATTTCTAATTTTTAAGTCGTATATTTGGCACACATTGGTTATCTTGATATTTCAATTACTGTTTAAGATGTTCTTAGTGGAATTTCGGAAATGGGAATAGGTTCGTTCGATTTTGTGAAATTTATTTCATTTTCTATTTATTTTCTATTTTTAGTTTCTAGATAATCTTCGACTTTCTTCCAATAATGCTTGCTGTGACAGCTTTTAATTATCCGACCGATACGTTCTCGCGTCATTTCAGCTCGTCTATCCTGGCGTTTCGAAGCGAATAATCGCTTCGATCTGAAGGAAAGTTGAACGAAGCTCATTTATCCGATAGTTTGATCACAAGGCTGATAGCTGGGACAATACGTTAACGTGGTAAACTAATTCTAAAACTTAAACCAGTAGCTGTCTTCGTAGCTGAGTGATCTCGGGTCACCGGCTGTCGGAAGTCTCAAAGCTCACAGAGTCAACCTTTGATTACAGAGGAGCTCGACCTCTCGAGCATCGGCGAGATTAGACACTGTTTCGATTAAAAATAATTATTTTTCTATTCGCTTCTTCTCTCTCTCTCTCTCTCTCTTTCTCTCTCTCTCTCTCTCTCTTTCTCTCTCTCTCTCTCCATCGTAACTCGTTGGGATCCACCGCGTAGAAAAGGAATTTTTAACGTGTGCCAACGATGATAGGGAAGAGCATTCGTAGACAGTGTTTGAGAATGATCTTCGAGAATGTTTGCCGAGGAGATCTTCTATTTGCCTCTTGAAATGAACGGTAAATTTTTTAAATAGGATCGAGACCATCTGGGAATTACTATTTGATAGTGGAAGGAAATTGGAGGAGCTGTTTGCTGAACATTTGAATAATTTCACTTTAAAGATTCCAATGCTACTTTACAAAGTTTCAGATTAATAATTCATCTTGACCAACTGATGAGAATTTTTTAAATTGTATACTTTGAGACTTAACGGTCTTGTATTTATTTTAGAAAACGAAGTTGAATTCTTCTTATTCGCTTGAAACATTCGAAAACGTTTAAGGTGAATTTATCAACGTATATTTGTATTTAAATGAAAACGATAAAATAAATTTAATCTCAGCAGAGATTGAAGTTATTAAAAAAATATTCTTTAGATAGTCCAAATAATTTATCGGTAGGTGTAGTGGTCAAAGATAAGTTAACTTTTTAAAATAATTTTCCTTATCCTGTATAAAATGGCAGCGTTTGAAACGAATGTAATGATCTATCACGTGTTATCAGCTCATACAGCAGAATGATATAAATCAGATCCATAGGTCAAAGCCTAATTGGCGTCATAGTTAGCTGATATAGTCAGCTAGGGTTCAGCTAACGATTTGCGTCAATCTCATTCATATTCCTGCTTAGCGTTAAATTTAATATGTCCAATTAAACGATTATCTTCCAATTTTTTATTAAAATCCTTTATTCACTTTCGACATTCAACTTGGCAACTCCTTTTCTTATATATAAATAGGTTTAGTAGTTAACTTAATTAATAATAATTACTAAACTAATTGCTAAAATAGTTACTAATATAAATTTCTAATATAAATAATTACTAATAATAATTACTTAAAATAATAATTAATAATTAACTTAAGCAAATAATTAACTTATCTTTGGTATTTCTCCCATTACAAATTCACTTATACTACCTAATATCCTCCTCTACACGAAAAAACTTCCGTGAAAGCATTTTTCCTAAGAATTTTAATTTCTCGCGAAGAGTAAATGAATTGTATGGTAACATCTTTTCAAAGGTCTTGAACAGCGTCGACAGTAGTTCTCGACAATGGTACAAGCCACCTCGTTCAACCAACATCGATTACGGAAATGTCGACTACCCATCTTTGATGTATGACATGGACGACATGAAGGCTCCTGTCCCTCCACAGACAAACGAGAAATGGCCTTTCAGGCATGAAAAGGCGATGAAAGTAACCCGGCGAGCTGTGAACAACTTGAACAAAGGTTTGCTGTGCAACGTTTTATCTTTAATTACAAGAAAGTTTCGTTTACTTAAAGAATTTTCTTCCTCTTTGTCTCATGTCTCTTCGAATATCAAAACGTAAGAGCTAGATGCCATTTACTTCCCTGACAACGAAGGGAAGCAGCTGATGCTGAGGAATGGCATTGTACCTAAATGCAATGGAACAACCTTCTGTGAGAATGTCTCGGAGTACCCTACGAATATGATAAACGATATCATCGAGAAAAATCCGTATCTTCGTAATTACGAGAGCGCCGATGCGGTTAGTATTCTTTTAAGTATGCTTTTTTACCTGATAAATTGTCACTTAGGTATTTGTATACGTTTTTTTAATACTCAACTAGACTTTTTTGGTTACTTAATTAGGTTTATGTTATTAATTAATTGGATATTATTTTACAATTTAACAATTACTATTATAATAATTTAACAATTATTTTACAATTTCAATTGTAATTTATTTGTAATATTTTAATTGTAGTATTTTACATATAATTGTAATATTGTTATAATTGTAATGTTTTACAATTTCTTTAGTACTTAATTTAATTTCTATTATTGCTTAATTGGGTATTTTTTCAGTGGTTAATAATTAGATATTCTTATATAATTCAATTGAATTATAATTCAATATATTTGTATTATTTCATTAGAAATTTCGTTATATTTTAATATTTTTATAATTCAGGTATTTTTTCGTCATTTAATTAGACGTTGCTTACCATTTGTTCATAAATAAAATGACTCGCGTCTTCAAATCTCATTATTAACATATATTTTCTTAATTAATTTTCTCTCGTTACTAAGATTACCACTTCCAACAATATATGTTTCATTTTATTTTTCAAATTTCTCTGTTGCCTTTTAGGTAGATATCGGGTTCAGACAAAACACTGCAACCGAGGTACTCTGTCTCTCGAATGTAAGTACAATTTCTATTATCGCTAAACGTACAAACTATCCCAGATTTCCATCCTAAATTTGAGACACCCCGTATATGCAACCCTTTATGATAAATTATACCAAGCGAGCAAGATAACCAGATATGCTTTGAAAATAATTTCAGGAGCAGATCGTCCGTCCACAATCAGCGGAAAATGTGAACAACGAGTGGCTGTACATCTTTAACAACTCAAACTTTACACAGGGAATACTCATAGAAACTTGCGCGTAAGTATTTTGTTATCCAAAGGAAAATGGCCGTCCGTTGGTTTTCTTCCAGTCTGTTTGCACCGCGCGATAAAATGTCAGCAGCTTGAAGTTTCGCGAGTTTCGCATTAACGCTACCTGTTTGAATTAAAGCAGTTCAGCACACAAAACGGCATAACAATAGCTAAGAAACATGATTTTCGCTTATACTCTTATCGTTCAAAGTTCCGAATGATCAAAGTTCCTGCTGTCAACAGCAGCACGAACTTTGTCTTCCAATTTGTCAACATCCTCAACACGGATACTGTTATGATTTAAGTCGATAAAGGATCCGAAAATAATTTTTCGTTTGAACTAATGAATGGTTAATTAACGATTCTTAATTAAGAAGAGGTATTCGGAACTTCAATGAGATTTCGGTACCACTTCATCCATGGTCAATATGTCTAGTATAGCTACTGTCATAACTTAAGCCGAAAGGTTCCAAAAGTAATTTTCGTGCAGGTGATTAGTTAATTAAAGATTTAATTAAGAGGTATTCATAACTTTAATTCGATTTTTGTATTATTTTTCATAATATTCTATACCCCGGACATATTTCGTATTTATATTTCGTATCCTGTAATCTAAATCGATAAAGTGTAGCTGAAATTTAATTAAGGAGAGTTATTAATAATTTTAATACGATCTTTGTATCATTTTTATTCATCCATTTTATCGATTTTCTATATCTCGAACGTAGCTTTTGTTATAATTTAAATCACTGTAGGATTCAAAAACAATTTTTAGAATAAATGACTTTAATGGGAGATTTAATGGAATAAAGATATTCGTAATTTTTAATAAGATTTTGGTATCATTTTTATTCAACGATTTATCAATATTCTATATCTCGAGTACAGCTTTTGTCGTGACTTAAATCGATAGAGGATTTAAAAAATAAGTTTTAACATGGATGATTTTAGTAAGAGATTTAATCAAATAAAGGTGTTCATAACTTTAATAGCATGTTTGCATTATTTTTACAGGAACGAGGGAAGTAGTTGTAGATTAGTGGAAGGTTTCGCCGGAGGCTACGTTACTTCCTGTAGACAAAAATACAGTTATCGTCAGCTGGTAGCAATCGGGGCGAATGGCTCAGTTAGTCATGACCACTTCCGGTTTCCATCCAGTTGCTGCTGCCATGTTGAATTCACCGCCCTTTCAGCGCTCAGGCTCAACCCAACAGATCGCCTGAAAAAGACACCAGTTGTTGATGCAAACGCAGATTGATCTCATTTATCTTATTTAAATTTTGTCTAATTTTTATTTTGTATTGAAAAATAGAATAGTTAACAGGCAGTGCTTTCCATCTGAGTTCGTCTTTTCCCTTGTACCATTGATCCTCCCACAGCAACTATTTTACTTGTACAGGGCACCAGACCTTTCCACGGAAGTACAACCGAGAAAGAGATGATTCTGCATGAAAAAACGAATCGAAAATAAAGAATAAAATTTTTTCATTCAAAGCTTCGTTATCGAGAAAATCGACTTTGAATATTCACCGAGTGCGCGTGCACTCAGCTATAGCTATGGCGGATGGACCATTAGTATATCAGCGTATTCGGTGAATATTCAAAGTCGATTATCTCGACAACGAAGTTTCGAATGAAAAAATTTTATTCTTTATTTTCGATTCGTTTTTTCATGCAGAATCAACCCCTTTCCGTTGTACTTCCGTTGCTGGGAAATCCTGTGTATATATAATATTAATTGGTGACATGAACTCTGTATTAATCAACACGTGTAAAATTTCTACTAAAATTATGAAGAACGAATTTTAGAACAGTTTTTATTCAACACTTCAATCTGTATAAATTTTAAGGAGCATCAGGTCACATAAATTACATCTATTTTATTGCTGAATATTTACATTAGAAGTAATAATGTTTTTTCAAGAGAAAATTCTTCATAAGTTGAGAGATAAATGCAGTAGAGAGAATGAAAGTTAATGTCCAGAAATTTATCCTACTTATTTTAGTATGCATTCTTAAGTATGAAAAGTGGAGGAAAATACGGATATAAATGTGATAAGATTTTAATATCAGTATATGAGATAGGATAAAATGAATGAAGCCAACAAAAAAATTGATTTGCTTTAGCCAAACAAGCTTTCACTTACTTTCTTGTAACAAATACTGTATAAATATATTACTTTTAAATATCAAATTTTCATTCAAATAAAATTCTACTAAAATTTATTAATAAGAAAAGGAAATAACAGATAATTTTTTACAATAAAATTTTAACTTTCATTTTGAAATTCCTCTGTTACTGTCAGTTTTCGAAAATTGTGAATTTTCCTAAAACAGAGCGATTTTTTATTAAAATGAAGTATTACATAAAAAGTAAAAGCGTTAGGGGCTCATTGTTGTCTCAAAAGTTAGATAAAAGTATCGGAGTTTATCCATGTCCATAATTATAATTATTCGTGCTTCTTTAATATAATGTAGTTAAAAAATGAACTACCATCTAACTTTTAAGATGAGAATGAATCTTTTAACGTTTTCACATTTCATGTGATACTTCGTTTCAGCTAAAAATACAGAAGAAATAAAAATATTTTGGCATAAATACATATACATATCATGGAAATTATTCTATGAAAGTGCTTAATACAAATGCATCACGAAAACTTATATTTTAAAAGCATAAATATAGTTTATAAATTATTATATTTATCGTTAGTAATAAATTAATATTGTTCATAACAAATTGTCCACAACGAAAATGTATAATAAAAATGGAAAAATTAATAAATTATTGGATATTAGTTGAATTTAATAACGTACTCGTGTTAAAACGTATCTATAATTTACAACAAATTTATAAATTATTATCATTATTGTTAATAACAAATTAATATTGTTATTAACAAATTATTTACAACGTATATTTATAATAAAAATGAAAAAATTAATGAATTATTAACTATTAAAGCGGGAAAATAATAAATAATGGAATCAGTCAAGCTCGGAAATTTTCGATTGGGGTGGGGTGCTCGGCCGATCGGTGGCTATATAAATGGCGACGTGACGTAGCATAATTTATTTGTCAGTTCGATTTCGGAAGTGTAATATCTAATTATCATTGTGCGCGTGGGGTGGGGGTTCGAAGTGAGGTTAAGGCTGACTACTCCAACCTCACCCCACCCCATTAAACAATTTACTAATAATTCTTTTTTTATTTTCAGATATTAATTATTTTTTTATTTCAGGTTTTAATTATTTTTTCTTTTTTCAGCTTTTAATTATTTCTTCTTTTTCCAGATGTTACTTTTTCGATTCTATTTATGTTTATTTGAGAATTCGAATATTTCGTATAATATTCGAATGTCTCATCGTTGGATCGTGGGACCTGGTAATTAGTATCGTTTTCCTAAATATAATTTTTGGGAAACGATACTAAGCTAAGAGCTACGCACCAAAGTCGAAGTATTAGTTATAAGCTATAGTCGTAAGTTAGTTATAAGTTAATTAAAGAACCTGATTACAAAAAGACAATGTTCGGTTGAAATAAACAGGCACGTGCAACAGGAGAAAAAATTGGACTCGTGGAACATCAGTGTAGAACCATTAGATGTCAAGAATTATATTTTATAGTGAGAAAAAATTGAAGCAGTAATAGACATGTGTAAGGTATGATATACTATTGGATTCTAGATTGGCTAACCATATGACATACAAGATAGAAATATTTGATGATCAAATAAAGATTCAGAAAAGAAAGATGATTTAGGCAGACAAAAGGGAATAAAATTAATTTAGATGATGTCCTCTTATAAGAACAGGATATAGAAAATACAATACGATTGAAAGGTATGTCGTATTTCTGATCTGAATAAATATTAATATCAGTGGTTAAAGTCACTGATCATTGCTAATCTGTTAAGTTTCAGATTGATGGAGCTGAGGTACATAAAGAAAAGAAAAAAGTTCTAATGAAAGCAGTGAGAAAAGGAAATGTATAATACATAGAATCAAGAAATGGAAAAGAGGCAGCATATGTATCAACAGACAAAGATGTGTGGCATCGACGTGTAAAAATAAGGATCATTGAAGAGATGGAGAATGAAGAATTGGTAATAGTTCTGAAAGGTAAAGGCAAATTGAATATAGAGTGTGAATGTTGCTTTAAGGCAAAAATCTGTAAAAACACACATAGGAACTTGGAAAGTACAAAAACAGGAGGAATAATGGGGCTGTGACACATGGATTTGATTGGACCAGTTAAGCCAATGTCAAAAAGAGGTAAAAGGTACCACTTATCTATTGATGATTATTGGAGAGTGATTATTGGTCTTCCTTTTATAGGAAAAGTGTCAGACAGCTGAGGAAATAAAAATATTGGTAACATTTGAAGAAAATTAATCTGTGAAGAAGCTGAAAAGTATTTATATGCTTAGTCAATAGAGGTGAGTTTGTCAGACAAGACCTTCAAGTTTGTTTAAATCAAAAGGTAATAAAACATCATTTCAGTCCAGTAAGGACACCGCAGTATGATGGGGCTGCTGAGAGGAAGAAAAATCCACCATAATTTAATGAATATTGAGAATTATTAGGGAAATTCATGTATTTGAATACCTATGTCTTGCCAGACATCTCATTTGCAATAGGATGTTTGTTATAGTTTAACCATGATCTTAAAATGATGGACATGAATAGATTGAAGGGAATATTAAGATATTTGAGGGTGTGTATTGTCTTGAATTTGGAAAAGGAACAGAAACCAATGAAATGTGTTGTGCGGATATATAGATTGATATGTGAAGTTCTCCTAAAAAAGGAGGTGAGAAAGATTGTGAAGTGTAACAGATTGAATGCGATACATGTAGAAAATTAAATCTAAGCTCCTACATAGAAAAATGTTGTTATATAGGAGATGTAATAAAAACTAAGAACTTACAAATTTGTTACGTACCAGATAAAGCAACAAATGCTGATTGTCTAACTAAACCACTGAATGGCCCAAATTTGTTAAAGAATGTAAAATACTTTATGGGAGTGTTAAGAGAATAAAAAGAAGAGAGAAGAATGTGTGACAGTTATTTATATTGTTTTATTGTTTTATTTCTCCCACCCAACATGGCATAGGTTAGGTAAATACTTTTATTAAAAGTACTATTTAATCAATCTCAATTTTAATAATAACATTTCACGTTTGTCATAAGTATACTTGAAACTGAACGTAAAATCATCGTATTAGTAATGGGAAAAATATCTGCAGATTTATTATAACCGAGTGATACGTACTTTCTTTGAACAGGTCTGACTAAATGGTTTCGTTGAAAAAGTAATTTTAAGTAATTTTAAGTAAAAGTAATTCTCAAGAAGAATTGTCAATAAAGGTGATCATAATGCTCAGTTGTAAAATTTTATAATTAATATATATATTATGTATTACTATATATTATATTTTGTTATTAATTTTACAATTATTTTTATTAATTTATAATGCTTTTATTGTGGAAACTAAGCATTTACTAATTTGTCATTTTCGTAAGAGAAACGTATTTGTATTTGCTTCATTGATATTAATAAATATAAGAAACGTTGTTTGATCTACTACATGGATACTTTATCGTATAGCTATTTTAAAGATGTAACATTTTCCCGCTACAAAAACACCTAGCGTTTCCGGCTGAAGCCAACTTCCAGTTGGTGGCAAGCGGGCATAATATTAACATCGTGCAATATTCTCCAGCGTCAAAATAAAACATTAAATCTCAGAACGTTTCGTGAAGTAG